CGTTTTGTGATCACAGCACGCTCACACACACCTCAATGGGTTTAATCGTGGTCAGTCATCTGTACGTCCATATCTGATCTTGTTTATATGGTCTACAGCCTGGTAATTGTTTGTTTGAATGACCTTGTCTGCACTTCTGCAAACACTTACAGCAGCAGTCACTGACTTGCTTGAAAGTTACAAAAGAAAACATCTCACTCACAGAGAGAGAAGAGGATTGTTTGCTTGGCTTGATTGTTTGTTTACAGCCAGAGGCGATTAAGAATGCATGTGAATTATTAAAAGATAATAGCATGGACTGGAAGACTAATAACAGTCAGGACTTCAGCTTGAGTCCCTAACCATTCATGAGCTCAGAGCTCACTATAGATCTCTACATAATGTAGATAAGGATGTCAATCACTTCAATCAATCAATCAATCAATCAATCAATCACTCAATCAGTCTTTCACCCAACTAATCAATTGATCATTCAGACAACCAATCAACTAATCAGTCATTCAGACAACCAACCAATCAACAAACACCCAATCAATCATTCATCCAACAAATCAATCAATAATTTAGACAAGCAATCAATCAGTTAGTTAGTTATTCAACTTACCAACCATCCAACCAATCAAACCAACAAACACTTAATCAGTCATTCAGCCAACCAATCAGTCAGTCAGTAACCCAGACAACCAATCAATCAATCAATCAATCAATCAATCAATCAATCAATCAATCAAGCAATCAATCAATCCTCATACAATGTAGCAACCAATCAACCAACCAACCAAACACTTAATCAATCAAACATTCACTCAATCAACAAATCACTCAATCAATCAGTCATTCAGACAACTAACACTTAATCAGTCATTCAGACAACCAATCGATCAGTAATTCATTCAATCAATCAATCAATCAATCAGCCTCAAAATATGCATCTTTTCCTGGTGCTGTAAGGTCATATAATCAACAAACAAAATGTCAATAAGAACAAAGCTTACTGATTGGCTGTCTAATCCTATTGTCACTTTATAATAACAAAGAATGTAGAGGTCTGCGTGGGACTGTTTTTTTTCTAAGGCTTGCTCCGGCAAAGTTTTATTCCGCACGCAAGCACTCCCGCTGTATATTCAGTCTTTGCACCATTATTGGTTGATCTCAGAAAAAAAATTGTGTTCGATTTTTTTGACTGGCTTCTGATTATTGACAGGAACCCTCTTATTAGCGTGTTGAGCTGAAGAAATGTAAATACGGACCTGCTTTCAAAAATGTATTAGCGTTTAAGTGGGAAAAAAATTCAATAAATCAACAAGAAATCACAGATATACTGTTACAATATAGCGTTGAGAATGCTATTGTTAGACCGCCTGCTCTCGTTCAAACTGCAGCAGAGTTACCGACCGCTACTACGTTTTATACGGAAATTCCACACCACAAGAAATCTTGTCGTGTCCCGCAGCTTCCACGATAGAGCCGCGGGAATACAGACCTCTAATGAAGAGTCTCTCTATGTTTAGGCTAAAACACTGGCTTGTTTATTTATGATTGTACTTTTAACGTTTTTGTCGTCTTTTATTTATTCTTTCTTTAATTTTGATTTCCAAAATTAATCCTCACTGCAATGATAACAAAGCTTGTTAAGTTTATAATGATTTATAAAGGACTTGTTTTGTGTTATTGTTTAGTTTCATTATTTGATCTCCATTTACAAGTAGGTTATTGAGCCCTACTTTGTCCACTTGCATCCTGCCCCCTCACAAAGGTTGTTACACCTAACAAATTTTGGTAATCTCCATCCCTTGCAGCAGTGGCACACATGGCGGTAATCATCTACTCTTGTAATTGAGTAAATTAACATATTTTCATTTTGGGAGTGAACTATCCCTTTAATGTGTGACGTTTAATCGTGTGTATGCATGTGTGTGTGTGGATTGTAAGCTAGTTTTTGACTTTGAAATGAACTTTTAGAAGATTTCACTAATTCAAATGTATTATGAAAATGAGAACTGAAATACTAAGTAATACTATAAAATATGGTAATATTGGCTCTTGGATTGGGTGTCAGGAGAGTGTGTTTGAGTTTAATTGGAAGTCTTTTTTTTTTTTTTAATAAAACTTGCTACTCAAGTATCATGAACATCCCTTTATATCTCATCTAGTTTGTACTGATTTGGTTTCTTTTGCATTTACTTACTACGAATGAAAGCTTTTCCTCCACTCTGCGTCTCATTATGAACCCTCCGAGTGTTTTAACCTCTCCAGATTTAGTGCTTATTATCCTGCAGTCGAAGTGTAATCAAACTTTATGTTATTACCGATGGCATTTTTAGGCTCACAGCACTTGCTTTTATGTTCATCTTGTGTAACCGTGTTAGAATAACCACATTATGTTGTTATCTTGTATTTTACACTCCATGTGAAAGTGAAATATTATACTTTATGTAATGCATAAACAGCCTGAGGGGCTGTACAGGTTTTTTTTTTCCATGACTCCACCCACATCCAGACATCGACCAATGGAATAAGGTTATAGAGCAGCTGGGCACGCCCTCTCCTGAGTTTATGAAGAAGCTGCAGCCGACGGTGCGCAACTATGTGGAGAACAGGCCAAAATACGCCGGTCTGACCTTTCCCAAACTCTTTCCTGACTGCCTGTTCCCTGCAGACTCTGAGCACAACAAACTCAAAGGTATGTCACAGTCGGAGATATCGTGAATTTTTTGTATGTTTGTTTGTTTTCAACATTGAATTTCATGACATGAAGTTCACCAGTCATATTTCACCCCAAACTAAACCCAAATTAAATTTAAGTTTAATAAATAAATATTAATAAATAAATCATTTTAATAAGTAAAAACATTTTAATTTAAATAAAATTTCTACTGTACAACATGTCCCACAGTCTGTTCCAGTTGGATTGAATAACATATTATAATTTAATTTCTTTATCAATTTATTAATTTTTATTTACACTACACTCATATTACAACCAAATAATTGTTATTTATGTATTAACTATAACATCAAACATTTTATTTTATTTTAGTTAAGGTATACAGTTGAAGTCAAAACTATGACCCCTGCTATAAAATGTTTCCCAAGTGATGTTTAACACTGAGAAGATGTTTAGCACATTTTAAAATATATTAGCTAATTTATTTAATTTTTTCTTATTTATGTTTTGGCAAAATGACAGAGCAAAATATTTAAGTAATTATTTTGATAGTTAATATTGTTTATAGCTTAAAGTCCAATTTAGGTTAAGTTGGTTAACTATGCAAGTTACGGAAAAAGTTATTGGACAAGTTCCATGCATGGACATGTATGGGTTTATTCTGTATCTAATCGAAAACGATCATTTTTTAATATTGACCTTCAATTTCCTAACTGCTTTTATTCCAGGCAAACTAAAAGAAATAGTAGAGGGAAACATAATAAATAAATAAATAAATAAATAAATAAATAAATAAATAAATAAATAAAACTATTGTAAAAAAAAATAATAAAAAACATTGTTTATCAAATATTTATTATTAATATATTAAATAATATTTACAATTAAGAAATAAGAAATCTTCCCCCCTCAGGAACAAAAAAAATATTATACAAAATACTTGCTCTATTAAACATCACTACGTAAATAATTGAAAAATAATACAGAACTTCACAGGAGGAATAATAATTCTGCTTCAACAGTACATTAGTTATTTGTATTAATCATACAGTACGCAAAGTTATATACAATTAATAAATGCTGATATTATCTTAACTAATGTTACCATAGCTTATATTAAATGCTGAATGTCACACAAACTGTTGAAACTTCCCTCAAAAAATGTATTATTAAATAACGGTTTACTTGTTAATTTATTATAACATTTGTACATGTATATGAAATGTTATGACTTGCTTTTTCACCAAAAAACTTCCTCCAACCTCATTTAACCCATATCCACATAAAAGTGCACTAATGTCACATCTTTGTATGACTTCAAATTACTACTAGGAGAATTAAATAAATAACCAAATATGGTGAAAGTTAATAACTTCCGTTTGATTCGTCGCTATTTTTATTTGTATTTGTGCTGTTTTCATAGTTTGTCTGAAAGACTCAAGCAATTTTGCTGATTTGTAAGAGGTTTCATTAACTGTGCTGCAAGCAGTAGTTCTCCAGGGAAAGCGAAGGAGAATCCTCAGCCTTTGATATGAAAACAGTGTGCTGGATATTAATGATATGATGAATTTTCCATAATTTGAGGACAAGAGATACTGCTTATCTATCTATCTATCTATCTATCTATCTATCTATCTATCTATCTATCTATCTATCTATCTATCTATCTATCTATCTATCTATCTATCTATCTATCTATCTATCTATCTATCTATCTATCTATCTATCTATCTATCTATCTATCTATCTATCTATCTATCTATCTATCTATCTATCTATCTATCTATCTATCTATCTATCTATCTATCTATCTATCTATCTATCTATCTATCTATCTATCTATCTATCTATCATGCTCAACATAATTGAGTACACCCCATTTAGAAAATGAATATTAATATGTTTTTCTCTGTGAATATAGAGAAATACATTATTCGGTGCAATCTGCTGTAAACAGATTTATTAAACAGATATATTTATTAAAATAATACTTTAGTCATCGAACATCTTTAGAAATAGCAAGATTATTTAAATTCATGTGAAATATCGGGGGGAAAAAATGAGAAACTACAACATTTCAACAATTATTGTTTCTCTTCTCTTGAATTTATTTAATGTTTTTCCCTAACATATCAATTTGGTTGTACTAATTCTGGACCGTCACAAGTTATTTTGTTAAATTAGCTCCCGATTTGGCTTCAGTACTGACTAATTTATCTATCCATTTTCTTTTTAAATTTTAGTTTCACTTTATTGTAGTTTTTGTGTATTTTATTTGACATGTTTTTATTTGCTGTCATTTCATTTCAAATAATTTGTTATATTTATTTATTTCAATCATTTGTTAATTCAATATTAGTTGGTATTTCAGTTTTATTTTGTTGTAGCTTTGGTTTTATTTGACATCATTTCATATTGTCATTTTATTTTATGTCACCATTTCATAAATCCGTGTGCACACTGTTTCACAATTTGACATCAGTTGGCAGTTCGGTTTATTTATTGATTCTGTTTTATTTTCTTTTTGTTGATTTTTTTTCTATTTTATTTACATTATTTTGTCTTTTCCTTCTAACTTAAGTTTAAAATTAGTTTGAAGTAAAATGTGTTTAATAGCAATTAGGCACAAGGCCATCTTTAATAAGTTTAACCTGCCATTTCATCTTTTTATTTTCTAATTTTATAAACTGATTTTAGTTTGCATTTCTGTTTTGTTTCAATACAGTAGTTCATCCCATTTTTATATAATGTTACTTCATATTTTATTACAAACTTTTTTTGACTTTCTGTTTACTTCTGCATACACTGGTAACACTTTATAAATACTTGCACACTATGAATCATTTATTTAGCCTTAGCAAATAGTTAACTAATAATTTATTGATTTATTAACTATTTGTCATTTAGAAGGGATTTAGAAAGCATCAAAAGTCCTCACTTTAGTATAGGTCACAAAACCGCATGAAGTGTGTGTTAATAAAGCATTTATAGACAACCTCAGTAACTATATGCCTGAATAATAAGATATGAAGAGTTTAGATGCAAAAACCTCAACGCCATCTGAATTTTTTTTTTTTTTTTTTTTTTTTAAATCAGGCTCCTGTGTGTATGTTCATTAATATCTCTATTATGTCAAAAAATAAGTCTTTTTTTCTGGTCTTTCAAGTAAAATATCTCAACATAAATAAAGGAGGCTGAGGAAAATGTTCATTTTCAATGGATTTTTAGATGGCACTTAAAGGTTTTGGCATCTGAACTCTTCATACATAAATGTAAATTATTTGAATAGTTTATTAATCATTTAACTACTCATTCTTAAATATCTTAAAAACCTGCAGCTACTCTTAAATAAATGCTTTTTAAATAAATAAATAATTCAATACCTAATGTCAAGAATACAGCATTTGTAGTTATAAACTGCTTCATTTATTCATTTTCCTTCAGCTTAGTGCCTTATTTATCAGGAGTCGCCACAGCAGAATGAACCGCCAACTATTCCAGCATATATTTGACGCAGCAGATGCACTTCCAGCCGCAACCCAGTACTGGAAAACATCCATACACACACTCGTACACTACAGCTAATTTTGCTTACTCAATTCAGTTATAGCGTCTTTGGACTGTGGGGGAAACTGGAGCACCCAGAGGAAACCCACGTGAACATGGGGAGAACATGCAAACTCTACATTGAAATGCCAACTGGGCCAGCCGCGACTTCCACCAGCGACCTTCTTGCTGTGAGGCGACCTGCTTACCGCCAAGCCGCCCTAAAAACTGCTTACTAATGTCTATTAATATAGAATTAATGCTTTACAACTGATTAATTAACTATTTGCTTAATTATTCATAGTGTGCAGTCATTACAGAGTGTTACCCGTACACTTAACCAATATAAATGCACAGATTTATTTATGTTAATAGAACAAAAAATTGAGAGCTGTAGAGATTAGCGTCAGCCATTTTGAAGTGGTCCAGCAGAGAGAAAAAAAGAGAGAGAGAAGAGAGATGATGCTGAGAGAGCAGAGAGAAAGAGTCTGACTTTACCAGGCTATTTATAGAGCAAAACAGAAGAGCGAACAGAGGAGGAGGAGAAGAGAAGATAGGGAAGGAAAGGTGAGAGCTGGAGGAAACTGAGCACTGATGATTTCAGTGCCCTTGCAAAATAACAAACACACAGGATAAAATATAAAGACTGTGGCGTCTGAATTATTAGACATTTACATCCGTTCTTAAATAAATAAATTGTATCAAGTTCAAACCAGGCTCATTGGAAATACAGTATGTGCTTCAAAACATACTTCAACACATGTCTGACTGCAATTTCTAGGTAAAATTCATGATATGTTTTTTTTAGTTGTAAATTTGGTCCATTTTCACACATCTGACATCATTTATTGTTGTAATTTTATGTTTTATGTATTTTATATTTTAATATGTTGCTATATTTCATAAATCTGTGTGCATATAGTATTTATTTCACAATTTGATATCCGTTTGCAATTCAGTTTATTTTTTATTTTGTTTTATTTTCATTTTGTGGTTTCATTTTATTTTTTGATTTTATTTATATTTTTTATTTTGTCTTTATTTTATTTATATGTTTTATTTATATGTTATTTATATGACTGCAGTTATAGGTCAAATAAAAGCTACGGGAGTTGTTCCTTTGCACACTATTGATATTTACAAGAACATACTATCGAGGAATAACTGATTATTTCCATGCAGTTCTTTGCAAAGCACCAAATAAACACCACAAAACATCTTAACAATGTCTATGATTTGTTGCTTTACCTACCTATCTACACATGGACATCTTTTCTGTTGTGGTCAGTTTGCTTGGTCGCTTACACTGTACAGTGTTGTTCTTGTGATGCAGAGTGCTTGGGTTCAAGTATAGTGAATCATATTTCCACAAAAGAGAAAAATCAAGATAAAAATCAAGATAAAACCATGTACTGTAGTATGTAAAAGAAAGACGTGTTTCTGAAAATGTACAACAAAACATAAGTAATGTATTTCAAATTTGCAAAGATGTCAACAGGGCCCTCTAGTGGATTTGTTCATTGCAATGAAATGTACCCAAAGTAATGTATTATACATATTTTCTACGAGCCTAGTCTGTGATTGTGCATGCATATTAGTAGCCAAATTAACCAAATATTAGTAAAAACCTATCTATCTATCCATCCATCTATCTATCTATCTATCTATCTATCTATCTATCTATCTATCTATCTATCTATCTATCTATCTATCTATCTATCTATCTATCTATCTATCTATCTATCTATCTATCTATCTATCTATCTATCTATCTATCTATCTATCTATCTATCTCAAAATAATTGAGTACACCCCATTTTGAAAATGAATATTTTTATTCATTTCTCAGTGAATAACGGTCATATATTTGGTGCAATCTGCTCAAAACAGATTTATTAAATGGATATATTTATTAAAATAATTTTAATCATGGAACATCTTTAGAAATACCAAGATTCTTGACCTTATTCTAAAATGCGGAAGTGCGCATGTTTTTGCGATTGTTTTAGAACTTCTGATTCAGTCACCTATGGGAGAAATGACAAGGAATAATAAACGGCAGAAAACGGTCAAACTACTTGCTCTACAAACAAATGTTTGCATGACTATACAGACCATGTAGAATATTATTATTAGAAAATATCAGTTTGCAACTGCAAAAACAGCGAAACGAGCAGTTTTTAATTTCTAAAAATGAATGGAAAAGAATGAGAGCGGAAGTCTTGAGCCAAAAAGATTCAAATGACTGCGCCCGCTCGTTGGCTAAGAATAAGGTGAATACATTTCAATTCATGTAAAATATTGGTGAAAAATGTATCCATTTTCTTTTTAAATTTCAGTTTCACTTTATTGTAGTTTGTCCATTTTATTTTACATCTTTTTTTTTCCTGTGATTTCGTTTCAAATAATTTGATGCATTTTTTTATTTATTTAATTTATTTATTTATTTAAATTCAATTGTTATTTCAATATTTGTGATTTTAGTTAGTATTTCAGTTTTGTTGTAGCTTTGGTTTTATCTATCTATCTATCTATCTATCTATCTATCTATCTATCTATCTATCTATCTATCTATCTATCTATCTATCTATCTATCTATCTATCTATCTATCTATCTATCTATCTATCTATCTTTCTATCTATCTATATATCTATCTATCTATCTATCTATCGGCCAAAAGTGCTTTTGAGCTTTAATTATTTTCCTTTTTGGATTCTCCACGGTACAGTAGAATTTGATATGTTCAATATGTAAAATGCAAGCTTCAATTGAAAACGTTTGCACTGCTCCACTTTTACATATTATGCGCAAAACATATAGCTCATATTCACATTTACATGTTTATTTGCCTTTTAGATTTTTATTTATTTGTATATTTTTTTTCATATGTATTAGTCTTTTCTGTAATTTTTGTAATTTATTCATGTCAAAAATATTTATTTGTTTATGTTTTGCTTGTTATTTATGAAACAATGTGAAATAATTTTATGTATTTGTGAATTTAACACTCACTGAGCATAATAAGTTACAACAAAATTAGTTTAAAACAATTACACTTAAAATAATTTTGAAAACATTTCTAAGGTTTATTTGATTTTTCTTTATGTATTTTTTTTTTATGAATCAATTTTTTTATTTTTATTTAATTTTATATTCAAAATTGTTTTCTATTTATTCTTCCATATGTCATTTTTGTCAAGCACCAATTTACCAAGACACCTTTTTTCATAAATACACGCCTACAGTACAAAATGATTTGATATAGGTGTGTGATATTGCACTGAAAATACTTTTTAGGATTAATCATGCAGTCTGTGTAGATTTATTTGGTAATTGTAATACGTTTCCTTTCAACAGTTAATAAATAAACTACAATGACTGATTTCATGTGCTTGTATATGCAAAAACAAATAGTAAACAATGCAACTATATGCAATTTTCCTTTCTTTACTTTCCTTTCCTTTCATTACTTCATAAATGTAAAATGTTCTATATATTTTATCATGAAACACTGTATCATAGTAAAGCTCAAAGTGTCTTCGTTCCAATGATACCTAATTTTTGATTGTAGCTCACTGGAGTCAAGAACTGTTACTATTTAAAGATAGATAGGTGTAAATCACCATAGTATAATGGTATAATGGCTAACAGAAGTTACTTCCATAATTCCCAAAAGGCATTAATAAGGCACTGGAAAACAATAGATAAAACTGAGTAATTGTGTCTAATGGAGTGCAATGTCCTCATTTTAGAAATGTGTGTGTTTTTTTTTTTTTTTTTTTTGCAGCGAGTCAGGCACGAGACTTGCTGTCAAAGATGCTGATCATTGATCCAGCGAAGCGAATATCAGTGGACGAGGCGCTTCAACACCCCTACATCAACGTGTGGTACGACCCGGCTGAGGTGGAGGCGGTGAGTTGATTCTCCATCAGCTTATAGTTAAAGAGTGAGCGCAGCATGACGCATGTTAACTGAGGCTTACAGTCGTACACTTACCAGAGTAATCAGTTTCTCCATTCATCTGTCCTGTGCTTTTCTGCATGGTTGGGCCAGTGGGGCCAATCATGAGCTTCTCCATCACTCACACCTGATTGGATAAGAGAGGGGAAAAATATATAGTTTTATTGTCACTTTAAAAATGTGCAATTAGCGTCAATGTCAATTAATAATTCCCCTAAATGTACTTAGCTCTATTTATCTATCTATCTATCTATCTATCTATCTATCTATCTATCTATCTATCTATCTATCTATCTATCTAATCTATAGTGGGTATGTAAAGTACTCAGACCCCCTTACATTTTTCACTGTTATATTGCAGTCATTTGCTAGAATAATTTAAATTAATTTTACCCTCATTAATGAACACAGCACCCCATATTGACAGAAAAATACAGAATTGTTTGACATAAACTCATTTGTGCAGATTTATTAAATAAAGAAAAGCTGAATTATCACATGGTCCTAAGTATTCAGACCCTTTGCAGTGACGCTCATATATTTATTTATTTATTTTATTTATCTTTTGGCCTTTTTGCCTTTATTAGATAGGACAGTATTGAGACAGGAAGAGAAGTGGGAGAGAGGGGGTAGGGTAGGGAAATGTCGAGCCGGGATTCGAACTCGCGACGCCCTGACGTGCTATTGCACCATATGGCAGCGTGCTAACCACTAGGCTGTTGCGCCGACGACGCTCATATATTTAACTCAGGTGCTTTCTATTTCTTCCGATCATACTTGGGATGGTACTACACCTTCATTTGTGTCCAGCTGTGTTTGATTATACTGACTGGACTTGATTAGGAAAGCTACTTGATTAAGACCTACAGCTCATAATGCATGTGAGAGCTAATGAGAAACATGAGGTCAAAGGAACTGCCTGAAGAGCTCAGAGACAGAATTGTGGCAAGCCATAGATCTGGCCAAGGTTACAAAAAAAATTTCTGCTGCACTTAACGTTCCCAAGAGCACAGTGGCCTCCATCCTGAAATGGAAGACGTTTGGGCTGCTACTGAGGGGAGAAGAGCCTTGGTGAGAGGTTAAAAAAAAAAAAAAAAAAAAAAAGATAATGAAAGCCTGCATGAAGTTTGCTTAAAAAAAAAAAAAAAAAAAAAAAAAAAAAAAAAAAAAAAAAACACATGAAGGACTCCAAGGTGGTGAGAAATAGGATTCTCTGATCTGATGAAAACAAGGCACTGCTCATCACCTGTCCAATACAGCCCCAACAGTGAAGCATGGTGATGGCGGCATAACGCAGGACGACTGGTTATAATTGAGGGAAAGAAATGTGGCCAAGGATCTCCTTGATGAAAACCTTCTCTAGAGTGCTCAGGACCACAGACTGGGCCAAAGGTTTACCTTCCAACAAGACAATGACCCTAGTACAAGTACACTGCTAAAATAATAAAGAAGTGGCTTCACGACAACACTGTGACTCTTCTTGAATGGCCCAGCCAAAACCCTGATGTAAACCCAATTGGTCATTTTTTGAGAGACCTACAAATGGCTGTCCACCAATGTTTACAATCCAACCGGACAGAACTGGAGAGGATCTGCAAGGAGGAATGGCAGAGGATCCTCAAATCCAGGTGTGAAAACTTGTTGCATCTTTCTCAAAAAGACTCATGGCTGTATTAGATCAAAAGCGTGCTTCTATATACTCAGCAAAGGGTTCTGCACTTTTCTGTCAATATGGCATAGTGTGAGTACATTGATGAGGAAAAATTAACTAAATGATTTGAACTAATGGCTGCAATAAAACAAAGAGTGACAATTTTAAGCTGGTCTGAATACTTTCTGTACCCTTTCTTTCTTTCTTTCTTTCTTTCTTTCTTTCTTTCTTTCTTTCTTTCTTTCTTTCAACATCAATATAAATGTTAACTTTGTTTTAGTCAAATAGCTGGTAATACTGACATATGTTTTTATGGAATCTATTATTAGGCTGGCTTGTGTAGCAAGCCAGACTACTGTTATCCTATTTTTCTTCTGAGACTAAAAAACAAAACGCATCTCCTCCTAGAGCTTTCGAGCTATGACCACCAAACTCACACCAAACCTTCAAACTGGTCTGACTCGGTGTGCTATATCTTTTCCAACTGATCCGACTTTCGGTTTTCTGAAAAACATCCCGGGACCGTCTGAAAAATCCCATTGACTTAACATTGGACCAGACTTTGTGACCTCATAACTCTGCATCAAACTGTCACACAGACTTCTAACTGGGCTCATTTAATTCAGACTACCTAAATGCCAATACCTGATGAGCTTTTAACTTTCTGGCCACGCCCTAGTAACCACTTTTGGGACCCTAGAAACTGTCCCATAGACTTCCATTCAAAAGACTGTCGTTGACTTTACATTGGATCAAACTTTGTGAGCACATAACTCTGCATTAGACTGTCCTACAGACTAATGGCTGAGCTCATTTAACTCAGACAACCAAACTACGAATAACTGACGAGCTTTTAACTTTCTAGCCACTCCCTAACAACCAGATACTGCACTCTAGCAACTGTCCCATAGACTGCCATTATAGAGGCATTGATATTATAGAGAGATTGATATCGCCATGCTGTAGTGTTATAGCAACATGCTAATTATGATTAGCTAAGTACTTTAACATTCTAGAAATGCTTAATATCTATCTATCTATCTATCTATCTATCTATCTATCTATCTATCTATTCATACTTTTTAAAACTGTTTAAACTAAATAAACTATTACCAACAGGCTTTCACAAGCCAGCCTCAAAGTTTGTCTCGACAAACTTTAATAATCTAGTTTGATTTATAATTACATAATACTCTTTCATTATTATTATTATAAATTGTACATGTCAAGTAAACCGTTTGCAATTATTAGCTTGGTTTCCTCCACCATGTTGCATTTGTTCAGTTTGTAAATGTTCATGGTTGATTCTGGGGACCTTCATCAGTTTCAGAGGACACAAGGAGGGATTAAAAAAATAAAAGAAGGTTGTCCTGATCTTTGATCTTTTTATATTTCTGCGTGTCCCCTTTCTGCACGTCTGTACTGTTTCAAAGGGATTTCAGAAGTCTGGTTTTCTTGTTTTAGAGAGTCCCAAGTACAAAACCACAACAGCAACCATGTGAATCAAACAGCATAGCTCGCATTTCTTGTCTGCAATTGTGTGTGTAGATATTAAAAGATGTCATTTTATGTGAACGTACACTACTTTTTTTCCTGCTGATCAAACAAATACTGATATGATATTGAGTATAGCACGTAGTTTGTTTTAATAACCCATGAGCATGGTTATGATTAGTGTGATTGTTTTCTCCTTCTCTCTGGTGTTTCTCTTTCTCTGATGAAGGCCAGGAATCAGCAGATATCGATGGTAAATAAAGACCATTCCACACTTAGGAAACTCAAATCACTCACACACCGACTGATGTCTACAACTCGATAGCAGAAAAAAAAATCATTATAATACATTTGAGCTGATTTGACATTGTTAATATTTGTGTGTTTGTGTTTGTCTGAGTCTCTGTACTGTGTACTAATATCTTAGAATGTATTGAAAGTTATTTAATGAATTATTTTAATAACATTTAGTATTAGAATACACTGCAAAAATGCTTTTCTTAGTGTTTTTGTTTTTTTCAAGTCTGAATATCTAAAAACTTGAGAAGCATTTTCTAGAGTTTTTTACTTAAAGCAGGCAAAATAATCTGCCAATGGGGTAAGCAACATAATCTATTTTTCTCTTTTGGAATAAAAGTATTTTGCTTACCCCATTGGAAGATTATTTTGTCTAGATAATGCTTCTCGATTTAACAATTTTTAGATATTTGGAATAGAAACAAGACAAAAAAATATAATAATAAGCAAGAAAAGATTTTTGCAGTGTTCAATATAGTCGAATGGCGAGTATAGGATTAAACTGTAAATTTAATATAAATGTGCCAAATTAAATTTTCTAACTTAAATTCTCAAAAATTTGTTTGGTGATAATCTTAGTATTAAATAATAATAGTAAAAAAAAAAACTATGACCAAATCTAAAAGACTATAATTGCTATAATTTATAATTGCTTTTGAAATGTATTTTTTGGACTGCTTTTTAAACAGACTCCCTTCATTTTGATTATTTTAATAATATGAGATTTAATATCAGAATAATAAAACACATTTAGATTCAATATTATAAGTGACAATTAAGTAGCCGTCATAAAAAAAATGTCCAAAACTGTTAAAATAACAAACAATCTGCTTACTTTTACACTGTAAATATTGTAATTCTTGTTGCCTTAATTTTTTTAGTTTACTCAAATGAACTTTTCTAGTCATTTAATCAACTACTAATTAAAAATACTGAGTTAAACTTTCTATAACTGCTTGAAACCTGATTAACTTATTATAATAATTTAAAGCAACATAAAAATAGTTGTTTTGACTTTGCCAGTATATTTTTTACTGTGTACATAGACTTACATGGCAAAAAAGCTCACTCATTTTGTGAAATTAAAATATAATAATATAAACAAATTAAATATAATATATAATATAATATAAATTATAATATACAACATAAAATAAAAATTTTATTATTTGTGCACTTTTAAGCAACCCTGCTTTCGCATAATGTTTACTCCAACTTAATTTACTCCACACCAATTTACTCCAACTTAATCTCTCTCTTTTCTGTTTATTTCTCTTATACCTTCCTAAATCTCTAGCTTGTCACAAAACCTAGTGAGCTCCCTAGCTAGACAGCATTTTTGCCAGTGACACCAGGGAATTTGAAACAACAAACCTCATGTGAATAAAAAATGCTCAAAAACACTGCTGAGGCTTTGATTGTTCAAATGATGCACAAAATGCAGTCTAGTTAGGCTGCTTGCTAGGATTTGAGATGCGGCGGTTGTTTCTGTCCCTGTCTTAATCCTAATCCTGACTGCAGACATTACTCTGCATTTCTGTCTTACTAATGCTGGTGTTTGGTCCTTATTTACTACGTTTTTACTGTTGAACATGTCAGCTGCATGTGCCAATGGTTGTAACACTTTGCATTACAGTGTCCATGTTATTTTATATACAACATATACAACAAAAAACTATATAGACAAATCAAAGAGTAATCTCATAGACACCTGTAATTAACATATTAATAACATTACAATATGAACACTGTAATGTAACGTATTAACCGGTTATGCAGGTCCTCATACTGTATATAGTGCTGTTTTCTAATCATGTAATAATAATAATCCTGATGAAATGCATTACAGTACATCGAATAAGTGACTCTGCAGCTGCAGAAATGTGGCAAGCTCTTTTAACATTTATTCCTCATTCCTATTTTCATGTTTTAGCAACAAAATCTATGCCAATAGGTACTATTATGTATAATATAGTATTTTTATAGACACTAATTCTTATTATTTAGGCACTAGTACCTCTAAGATTGTAGTACATATTCATTAGATAGTTGTTACAAGGCCCATACAGAATCTGCGTGCGCAAAAATCAGCCAAATTTTAACCCATCTTTGAGTCTATTTATTTACTTGTGTAAATGTGTGTAAATTTATATTTATTCAGTATTTAAATTATTTTCAGTAATATTATTGACTAGTATGAAAATGTTTATATACTTTATTTACAATACAGTTTGTAAACTAATAGTAGATTTTATGACAGACTTGTTTTGTTTACCAAATATGTGGATCTAATTGGCTTGTAAACATTAACTAAAAGTTAAAAAGTTTTTATAGTTTACTTCATATATTAAGTTTTTAGTTTAAATACTTCCACAATCGTTCTGGATAAATCCACAGATATTTTACAAAATTCTGCTTAAAAATAGCAAACAATGTCCACAGAGTCTGTTATTACTTATTAGTAATAACTAGACAGTCTAGCCAGGATGTATTCTAATAGTTTTCTGCAAGTATCTAATGAATATGTACTCATATTTAATAATTAATAGTTTAAAATGAATAATGTAACTAATGAAAAAGTACTAGTAGTGTATAATATAAAATGAATAACTACCATAATCTAATGGGTGAGTACCAGTCACTAATGGATAAGGACTACTATCCAGAACTACTATCCATTAGATACGACCTGTATCTAATGAACCAATTTCTATAGAATAATTATAACAAGTGCCCAACAAACAAGTACTAGCATAATATAAATGCATACAATATTTAATAGAAGCTTGTATCTAATGAAAGTATCTAAAAGTACTAGTATTTAATAAATATGTAATATAATCTAATGAAGGGGTAAGATAATTTAATGAATAAGTAATATAATTGAAAAAATGAGTACTAGTATCTAATGAATAAGTAATAATCATTAGACAGTAGTACTTACTCATTAAAGATATTACTTATTTATTAGATATTATTCCATATTTATTAGCTACTAGTACTTATTTAGTAAAATATATTACGTTTTATTAATTATTTATCAGATACTAATTATTACCTATCAAATATAAATAATATAATCTAATGAAGAAGTTATAATATATGTGTGTGTGTGTATATATATATATATATATATATATATATATATATATATATATATATATATATATATGCATGTATGTATTTAATGAATACGTACTCTAATCTAATGAATAAGTAATAGTAGTAATTAGTAAGTAGTAGTATCTAATGTATACGCATCTCATCAATTTGCAATACAATTTAATAAATAAGTATTAGTATCTAATGAATCAGAAATATGGTTTGATGAATTAGTAATAATATTTTATGAATATGTAATTTATTGAATGAGTAATATTATCTAAGTATTGAATAAGTATATGAAGAGTATCTAAATAAATAATAGCCTCTAATAAATAAGTACTAGTATCTAATGAATATGTAACCGTATCCTTAAAGTAAGCACAAGTGTGTGATTACTATTACTCAGATTCTAAGTGCTATTAAAATGTCATTAGTCAAGGAACTAATAAATATGAGTAGTAGTATTTAACTAACGAGTACTAGTATGAAAAAAATAGCTAGTAAACAAGTACAGTTTAAGGCTTAATGTTAAAATGGCTTGCCACAATAGACATCCTGTAATTAGACACTACCTATACTGCCTGATTTGTAAAGCATGAATTAAAATACCTTTTCTGTATTTATGGTTAAGGACAAGCAATGATATGTTAACTGAGAAGGCATTTTTCTTGTTTATGATTATGTTGTGGTAATAATTAAACCTGTTCCTTTCTGTCTGTGTCTCATTTCTCAGCCTCCTCCACAGATCTATGATAAACAGCTAGATGAGAGGGAACACTCTATTGATGAATGGAAAGGTAGGTCTTGGTTTGGATCTCTGCGCTTACACAACTCACAAATCATGCATACTGTTTGCACTTAGATGCTTCTATTAAGGTTTCTATCAGCTTAAAGGGACATTTAAAGGCTTAACTAGGTTAATTAGGTTAACTAGGCAGGTTAGGGTAATTAGGTAAGTTATTGTATAACGATTGTTTGTTCTGTAGACTATGGAAAAATATATAGATTAAAATGGCTAATAATTTTAAACTTAAAATGGTTCATAAAAACTAAAAACTGCTTTTTTATTCTAACCGAAATAAAACAAATAAGACTTTCTTCAGAAGAAATAATATTATCAGACATACTGTAAAAATTTCCTTGCTCTGTTAAACATCATTTGGGAAATATAAAAAAAAATTTAATTCGAAGGAGGGCTAATAATTCTGACTTTAACTATATATACACCGCAATAACAAGCAATAATATATCAAACAAAAATAAGAGTACTTATCGTACTACAGGAGTAAGAATGACTAAATTTCATACAGAAATAACAGCGCAATTTGTGCGTTCAAATATTCATGTTTATTTATTTATTTATGATGGCGTGATGACATTTATTTTTATCTTTTTATTTTAGTCTTACATAAAAATGCTGTTTTCAAATGAAGAGTTTGATCAAGGAATTACGAGAACTGAAAGGCTACAGTGCTTCGCGTTTTCTTCATAATTTCTGACTAAAAACTGGAGAAAAGGTGGATTGGATTAATTGTTGGTGAAAGTTTCTGACGAAATATTTTTGACGAAATTCTGAAGTTTTTTGACGAAATTCTGACATGAATTAAAATAGTTTTTTTTTTTTGAGACATGGTGTATATTAGTAGTTGTATTTAAAAAAAACACACACATTATTATTAGTTTTGTATGTGCTGCATCCAAACAAGCACACAGAAAAATACTGATCTAAATCTAAGAGTTCATTTTAACCTTGTCTTGTTTGTTTTTGTCTTTTGGTTTCTAATTACCCAAAAGTGTTTTTGAGTTAATTAGATGTGCAAGCGTGCTCATTTCTCTTCACCTGTTTCTCTCTGCGGCTCAGAGCTCATCTATAAAGAGGTGATGAACTTCGAGGAGAGAACAAAGAATGGTGTGGTGAAGGGACAGCCCTCTCCCTCAGGTACTCTCTGTGCATAAGCTATGCTTCTGTAAGTCAATTTAAAGTGATTTCAGCTGTTTATGAGAAACCCTCCCATTGTGACTGCTTCATTTGTCCCTGTCCCCCCTCTCATCTCGTCCGTGTGACACAAACAGAGTGTTATTACGTGATGGTTTTTCTTGATGTTGTTTAATCTGTGTTATGAAGAGTGGTGTTGTTTGCTGTAGTGTTAATTTAAGATGCTGTAAGCACTTTCTACCACTGTACAAAAAAAAAAAACTCTACTAAACCCCGGCCACAAAGACATTTCAACACTAGCTGGGTTTCCATCACCCTGTGTTAATGCACATTTTGAAGTTTCGCATGAGAAACGAGTGATAAATATGGCAGATTTGGAAAAACAAATCCCTTAAATCGTAAAAGAAAAGATGTACACAGACTCGAGGTGGTTATGGACTTAGGGTTAATGTGTACAATGCGAGATAGAAAAGCATTAAATGAATCACGCAAATATCACACCCACACAACTCATAGATATATACACTAAATATTGCATACGAACCCTGAGCATGCGTCAATATACCGCCGCCACATTTGTACGGTGCATATATATACACATACATATACATATACATATATATATATACGCATATTGTTGCTATTTTTGTTATTATTAGTAGTAAATTGCTAATTAATTTTATTATCAAATTTTCTACCATTTGATTTATATTTGATTATTATATATTTTTTCAATGTGATGTACAAAATTAAGTAATGACATAATATGAATTTTGAAGTTCAAATGGGCTGCAAAAATCAACAAAACAAAACAAAAATTTCAATGTTTGCTAAATTAGTGCTTTATAATAAATGCTTTAAATAGGGGTTCACCTTTAAAACGTTTTAACTTTAGCTGACCATAAATCCGTAATGATATATGATATGATATTTTTAAAATACATGCTTTTATCCTAAATATGGTCTTCTGGAGTTAAAGAAGGCTAACATCCTTATTTTGTTTTATTTATTTATTTATTTTTTTTGCATTGGATGTAATGCTGAAATAGGGGACTGTCCTGAGAAAAATGGGACATCTGATGACCCTTATGGGTCACTAAAACAGGGCCATTCAATATTCTAATTGGGCTACAGCCACCCTGAGCCCCAGTTTAGCACCAGCGTCACAGTTTTTTTTTTTATAGTTTTTTTGTTGTTGTTGTTGTTGTTTTTATTAAAGTTTTTTTAAAATAAAGTATACAAATGACATTTACTCAGAATTTTTACAATCACAAAAAAATGCTGAAAAGAAACAAATAAATAGAAAATAATCATTGATAGAAATTATAATAATAGACAAAAATAGTGGTAGCTTAAAAATAATAATAATAAATAAATAAATAAATAAGAGAAAAATAAAAAATAAAATTAAAGGGGGAAAAAGAAAAAGTAAAGAAACAAATAAACTCTAATATAAAGGCATTAACTACAACAATGATAAAGCCCCTGACAGCCTTTCAAAGATCAAGTATGTACTCTTCAATTAATGCCCAGGTCTGTTAGAAAAGGTCTGATTTTAACTGCCAATCTGCAGTCATTTTCTCAATGTAAATATCTGTTTCAGCTTCTGTGTCCATTCTGTCAAAGTAGATTGGCGGGTCTTCATCCAGTTCACTGTAATTATCTTCCTAGCTGTTATTAATAATATATGTAGTGCAAATAGGTGAGACTTGCGCAATTGATCAGGGGGGAAAGCCATCAAGAAAAAAATATTGGGTGCATTGGCATGTTATATCCTAAAACCTTACTAATCTCCCAGTTAACCTCCTGCCAATACACTTGTATTTTGTGACATTCCCTAAATATGTGAACATAGTTCCCCACTTCTCCACAATCTCTCCAGCATTATGATACTTGCATAGAAGTATTGAATTTGGCGGCCGACCACTAATGGAACTCTGAAAAACCGCAATTTCAGTTTCCAGTTGAACTCCTTCCACATTTGACTGCTTATACCCAGTTTGTGCCTATATGTTCCCACATTTTATTCTCTATTATACCGTTTAACTCTTAATATATCAAAAGAAATTGGGAATTAGAGTCGTCAGATTTATCCTACATTAATTTTCTATTTAAATTGGCTTCATTGTCATCACTGTTTTAGTAAACTGAAAGGAACACAAATTATCGACGAGATAAAGCATAACACAAAGAGGCATTTCCCGCGTCATAGCGCAAATTAATTCTTCAGCCAATCAAGGGCCCACTTCTTCCGTGGGCCTAGCCATTATGTTAATCTGGCCCTGCACACAAACACATGCTTTTGTCAGCAATGGCCATGCAATCACTTATTCATTGATGCAGAAAAGTATGTAAAATTATAATTTTCATAAAATATAAAAATATTTGCATACTGACCACCAGAAAAAAAAAATCCCAATCACAGATATATGTATATATGTTTACATATCTACGGCTCCGGATGGCCAGTCCTCCACCTCACCTTGGTCCCAACATTTATTTCAAAGGAGCCCTACCCTGTACTAAAATGGCGGCTGTATTGACGCATTCCTTCCAATAGACAACAATAACGTAGGCGACATCTAATGTAAATACCTATGCACAAGACTAATAAGTTTTCTTTATTTACTATTTACACACTAGATATGAATGACAAGAACTTCAACTTTAAAACACAGTGGCGCTCGGTGTCATTCCCAAAGCAGTGAACAAATCAGATAATTTAATCATCATTGATCAAATCTGAGATGAATTCAGATTGTGAATTGCCTCTAACGACTTGAAGTAAACGCATTTAAATTTGCATTTAGGAATTTTTAATTAGTTTGCAAATTTGTAAAGATTAACTTTACATTAAGTTGGAAACCCAGCTATTGATTGACAGTAGGACTGCACGATATTGGAAAAATCTAACATTGTGATTTTTTTAATTCTGTGATATATATTGCGATATAAATACAATTTCACTAGATGAGTTGAGTATAAACTATTTGGAAAGAATTGACAATTTTACATTGATTGATTCTATAGAGGAGTGCGTAAAATATAAGAAACAAAATCTACAAGCACAGATAAATACAACAAAATAAAAAAATACAAATTAAATAAACAATGTTTTATAAATAATTCAATAAAGTTTATCAATATTCATGTCAAAGTTACAAAAGGTACAATTTCTTATGCCTGAATGCTTTTAAAACCCTCATACAGTCACAGGCCTCAAAAAACGAACTATGAAACGATAAATTATAATGCAGACTCAACATTACGTATGCACGTGATATCCCTATTGCGAATGATCACATTGCAATATTGATGCTAAAAAGATATATTGTGCAGCCCTAATTGACAGGGAGAAATAGTTTCTGATTGGCTAAAAAAAACAATAGGAGCCTCCTCTAGAGGTTAGATTTTATTTATGGTATACCTAAGAAATGCTTACAGCATTTTTTAATGAATAGCTCACCTAAAAATGAAAATGTTTTTTTAGTAGAACATTAATAATGATTGAAACATAATTGGAAGTCAAAAAAACCAAAAACATACAGACGAAACAAATTTATATCCTTGGCGTTTGGCAGTACAATTTTTGGGTGAGCTATCCCTTTAAAAAAAGCACTTTATGACATTGTATTTAATACAGAACATTTTCTAATTGACCCTTTGCTAAGCCCCACCTTCAAAAAATAGGTATGTTTTAAAATATTTTCTCAGAGGTACACTTACATGACAAAATTTATTTTGTATTAGGGTTAGGCTATGTTGACCAATTTGGCATCGTATGACGTCTAATGTGAAACATTGCGATGGATGTCATTGTCATCATGTGAAAAGCCAGGGGTGGGGAGGGGTTGTTTGACAGAGTGCGCGCGACGTGTCTGAAGAGCGAGGAGGGATCCGGGGGTGAGAAGGGTGCGCGACTTATTTGAGGACAGGGAGGGAGACGCGCAATGTATAGGAGATTATCACTCGCTTGTGGGCATTATGAGTTCTGCAAATGCATAAAGACTCCCTGAAATTCCAGGAGACTTGGGATGTCTGAATATCACGTTTAACAACTATAGTTTAGACACAATCCAGTGGTACATCCTTGATAAACTGTCCAATGTGCACTGCTCTCTGAAGCTCAGAGGAGAGCATGACAGTGTGAGGCTGTGTCTGGTCACGTAATGTGCGTTTTCAGCGGACGGAGGGCTGTTCAGAAATGCTAGGTAAAACACGGTGTGGATGTGGATAATTTTCGTTCTAAAATCCCATTTTAGCACTAAGACGTATTAGTGTAAATGGGGCCTAAGTGTGTATTTTTCGCAAGCGGGTTTGCGACGGAGGCGGGGCAGAGGACCGATAGACGATGCTATTGACCATCGCCGATGGCAGAGGATCAGCGATGCCGGCTCAGCATCTATTGTCTATCTGCCATCGGCGATGGACAATGGCATCGTCTATCGGTCCAACCCTATTCTGTATAATCCCTGTTCGTACAAATTTGTAAAAAGGACAAATAAATCTGTATTCTGCATGACAGCCCAGTAAGTGCCAATATCACTTTATAAAGAACGATTACGCATCTGCACAAACACAGTAGTCCATTATTGTTGTTTTAGATGTCAAATACTTTTGCATGACTAAACATTTAATATGCATGTTTAATCTCACAATCTTAACAAAATTATATTTTTATCATTTAGACCAGGGATGTCAAACTCAATTCCTGGAGGACCGCAGCCCTGCACAGTTTAGTTCCAACTCTAATTAAACACACCTGATCAAACTAATTGAGTCCATCAGGCTTGATCGAAACCTACAGGTAAGTGTGTTGGAGCAGGGTTGGAACTAAACTGTGCAGGGCTGCGGCGCTCCAGGAATTGAGTTTGACTGCCCTGATTTAGATAATGGTGTCACTTTCCAAATCTTGCACTTCTAAACATTTGTATAGTTAGCATTTTCAGAGCCCTAAAATGCTGCTGTCATTTAAATGAACAGGCAAAACGGAAAAAGTAATGTATCACAGAATAACGTAAACTCACCCTT